ATCTGGGCTTTGAAGGCTTCACATGCCAATCTTTCGACAGGTCAAAGCCTGCGACCCTTGGCACCGTGTTTCCGCTGAGAGTCAGTCTCACGTCCCATGTAGGAAGGAAACCAAAAGCCCCCCCCCCCCCCCGGCCCCCCCGGGCAAGGTTGCTAGAACCTTCTTGGTAGAGGTTCTTAGAACGGTTCCTAGAGCCTTTTCAAGGGGAAGGGGGTTTTACCGTCTCTGATGAGTTCACGCTCAAAGCGTGGTTCAGCCTCTTTTGCCCGGACCTCCATGCGCGCAATTCTCACCACGGCGTGTAGCGCGACACATCTTGAGCACGTCTGGGAAGGTCGACCCTTAGATTTCCTCCGGGTCAATCTGATTGCGCTGGACACAGGTCCAGCATGCACTTGCAATGAATGAGAATCGAAGGCACGCGCGGCAGTTCTTGACCTCGACAAAGATGTACAACCAGTCAAACCTATGGATCTAAATCATCAACCAATGCTGTATGAAAGGATGCCAAATATGAGGCGGTCTCCACTGAATTTGGCCAGAACTTGCCACAGTAATCCACAAGCCATCAGAACCCACAGACACTGTTGGCTTTGACAGCAGCACAGCGTCTGGGAAAGGCAAAAAAAAAGGTCCTGCCCAGAAGTGTCCTGTGTGGAGCAGGTGTGCAGAAACTAGATGGGCCGTTCAGTTTGGTTCTGGTCATGACTAAAACAATTCGATACGGAACGGACACCTCGGGCCATAGGACCATGCCAGTCATTCTGGCCGTCTGCCTTCCCGGCTCTTGCTGATGCCAGGCGCGCCCTGCAACCTACAGAACCGTTGCATGGAACGTGGGCGTGACAGGGCTAAGTTCGGTATACCTGGAAAGAGGTCGTGCTCAAAAAAGACAACATGCAAAAAACCACAGACCCTGGCTGTCTGACGGCGCATCTGGGGAAATCGGGCGCATCTGTGCAATTGAAATAGAACTTCAACACGAAGAAGCTTCGCCTTTGCTTCAAGCCAATCAATGTCTGACAAAAGCCAAAAGCTCTGCTCAGCGATTTAACTCAACGTCCAAGGACACAACAAATCGCCTAAGAAATCTAACTTGATCCTATAACTATAGTTGCCTAACTCACTATTTTCAAGAAACGCACATAAACATTGCCTAGCTTCATCTTGTCTCCGACATACACCGCAACATCGTTGTTTTCCGAACAGCCTAACTTGCACGTCACCCTCCCACCGGCCATGGGCACGGCCCCTTCGCAGCTCAGTACTCGGGCACATGGCCTGCCCTCATGGCTGCCATTCGCAGCAGGCCTGTGTAGGCCTCGCGTCGTTCAACGGGCAGAGTTCGGCCCTCCCTCGCAGCCGGGTTGTTGACTGGCTGGAATGGAAATGGCTGTGGGTCAAGAATAGGTACCCAAAATGGAGCCCTGGTAAATGGAAACATGCACTAAAACCTGCGGTCCCTAGTGTTTTGATTTTGACCCACGCCCAAATCGACAAGCATGGAGTATTGAGCTCATGAGCTTAAATAAACTGCTGACATAACTTATTCCGACCACCCCTTCAAAATCACAAATACTCTAGAAAACAGTTTGCACGTGTTTTTTTTTGCGAATTTCACCCCGGTCTTCTCTATGTTGGATACAGGATCACCAAAAAGTGTAAACACAACAGTGGTCCAGTGGTGAGTGGATGCTGGATGATTAAATATATTAGGGCTTGCCGCTATCAATAAATTACCCGCCGCCGCGGCCATCCAGGCTTACCGACTCGGCAACATTTACCCCTAATTCTGCGCAGTTCACCCCCAAATTGGTGGTAATTTTTGAGTAAAGCAAAAAAACCGAGGAGGAAATTTGGGCACCGGGGGTAATTTGGGGGCAATTTACCCACAATTGTGGGTAGTTTACCCACATTTGTGGGGGGTAATTTACCCCCAATTCTGAGAGACATTCGGGGTAGCAGGTCCCAAAAATGGGGGGGGGGCAAATAACGTGTCCAAAAAATTGGGGTATATTGCTGGGAACCAGGTTTGACCCCTTATTTACCCACCCAAAATTGGGGGGTAAATTACCCACAAAATTGGGAGTAAACTACAACCAAAGTTGGAGGTTAAGTACTACCAAAATTGGGAGTAAATTACACCCAAAATTGGGGGCAAATTACCCACAAAAATCCTGGTAAGTTACCCACAAAATTGGGGGGTACATTACCCACAAATTTGAGGGAACACTGAGGTAAATGGTGGTAAAGAGTTACTGCTACAGGCAAGGCTTAATAAGTATATATATATATATGCATACGAATATAGTATAACATAATACATATATATATATATATGCATATATCTAATACAATACACTAGCATAAAATACGATACCATATAATCTGATATATATATATATATATATATGTATACTGTAATACATGTATACAGTCAAATGGCTGCAGGTATCCATCTGTGCATTTAAGACACTACACTGAATGCCAGATTCCATCCAAGATTTACATGGAGCGAAGTTGCCCTGGAAGTGTAGAGGGATGATAATAAATGATGCCCCAAGAACCAACGCTAGCAAAGCATTTCGTTTTGAAGCCAACAATACATGATATGGGTATGTATATCTATTGGGACCCTTTGGCAAACAGCATGTTCATCAGGATTAGGTTCACTAATCATGTCTGAGGGCGTTCCCATTGAAACAATGACATAGAATGGGGATGGACCGTTGGGTGGGGTGTGTGACGTGGAACAAAATGGCGACTAACCTCCTTGGCTGGTCCCCATGTCCCCATGTCAAGGCGGCACTGAACGACGAGGCCTCTGCCGGGGCTCTGCTTTTGATAACCCTCTCGCAGTAGCGTGCAACTTATGCACACGACGGGTGCAGCCTGGCCTCTTTGTCCAACTCCCGGCACACCTTCGTCTTCTCCTGTGGCAACCCTCATTTGATTCGCGCAAACGCTAGAGCACAGAGCCTTCAAGAAATTGTTTCACATGGCATCCAGAGTCAATCCTCAAGATAGCCAGCCAAGCACGGAATCAAGCCAGCCAAGTCAAGCACAAACAACTGGCAAGAACAATGAAGGGGCCTAGGTGAGAAAGCCCGCAAGTAAGCACAAACGCAGGAAGGCAAGACAGCGAAGCAAACAAGGCCAGGAAAGCAAGGCCGAAAGGCAAGACGGCAGATTGGCAAACAGAGGCAAGCAGGCGAGGGGATAGCACGGGGTTGGCAAGCCTGAAGCCGGCAGGCAAGCAGGCAGGCAAGCCATCAAGCAACCAAAGAGGCTGCAGCAAGCAGAGCCTCGCTGGCAACTGCCCTCCAAAAAAAGGCCGGACTGTCAACTGCGTGCCCGATGACCAACGCTCCAGTAATTATAAGCTTTTCAGTGATACCAAAGCAGTGTATTTCCATCTCTTCAGGAGCCCAAGATTGTCGAATGTCACTTTCAAGGCCTAAGATTCTGGAATGTCAATTCTAAATGCCGGGGTCATTGTTTGACTGTTTCTGGGATATCAACGTCGGAACCTGGGGCAACTTCCCTTTACCCCACCGTACCCCACCATACCCCACCACTTCGGGGCTGACTGTGATGAATGAAATCATCGGCCCAGCAAAACCCGATGCTCCACCTGTTGGATAGTTTCATGGAAGCCCAACACGTCTCCCCTGGCCTCCCGGAACCTTCGAAGCCTCGAACCCATGTCTCAGCAACCCCCCAGACCAGAATTGACGTTCCGAGCCACCAGTCGCCGCTGGGGGCCTTACATTTGCTTACCAGAAGTGATAGATTCCCTTCAACACCAAGAAGGGAAAATACAAACACATGTTCATTTCAGCAAATGGAAGGGGCCCCTTCCCACCTGCTGCCCGGCCCACTGCTGCCCGGCCCACATCCCTGGCCTCAAAGCCGCTGAGCGGCATTTGCTCGAAGCCCACGTCATGGGCGAGTCTCAGGTCCGCCGCAGTCAAGCGGCCCTCGTCTGCCCGCGCCTCGCGATTTGGCCAAGTTGGGCCAAAACCCAACCCGCATGGCCATGGGTCATAACCTAGGGCTCACCCCAAGATCTCATCACGCAAGGCCCACTGCCCATCCCCACCCCTGACCTAAACCGTCCCCCATGCCCGACGTTTGCTTTCAACCCCCCCCAGAGAAAAAAAGAAGTTTCCTTTGGGTGTCCCTCCCCTTGAATCCATGCAAAAAGAGCAAACCTCACCCCGCTGGTGGGAGTGGCCGGCGGCTGAACCCCGCCTGGCGCTCCTGGTCCTCCTGGCGGCGGCGCGCCGCCTGGCGCTGGGCGGCCAGCGCCTCCCGCGCCCGGAGCTGCGGGGACTTGCCTGGGACGAAGCGGGAGTGGGGGGGGGGGAGGGTGGGAGGGGTGGGAGGGGTTGCAAGGGGGGGGAATGGGGGGGGTTGGGGTGGGGAAAGAGGTGGGAGGGGGCGGGGTGGGAGGGGGGGAGGGGCTTGGGAGGAGGTGGGGCAGGGTTGGAGCATGCTTGACATGTACGGATTGGTTGAAGGGCTCAAAGAAACTCCTTTGCCAGCTGTCTACCTCCCCACGCTGGACTGCTTTTTTGTTGGATGCTCAACCTACAAATGAGACAAGGCTAACCATGGTTACATGGGTTGACCATCCCAATTTTGCAGCCCAGGCGCTGTTGCAGTGGCGGCAATATTCCTCCTCTAGAAGGCTCGCCCGACCGCACTGGCACATCCACTGATGCTTTGGCAGCGGCATCTCGTAGCGCTCCTCGCCAAACTTGATACGTCCAGATTGCGCTTAATTAAAACACCAGACAAGATCGGACAGCACCGCAAGCTGCAAGGTACACAGCAAACAGCAACTCACAGCGTCATCCGTACTGTTGACCCCGACAAAAAAGCAACACTTGTGGATTTATGGGGGGGGGGGGGGTGGGGTAAACTCCCTCTTCAAAGTTGAGGTAGATCCTGGGTAGGCAGATCCCTTGGGCAGAAGGCTAGGTGACATGCTGCAACACGGGCAAGGTGGACTAGATCAATTAGCATCGGAACCCAGACTGTATCCGAGCCTTGGCCATGTTTGCTCCAAGCAAAGGAAGCAGCAAAGAAAGGCATGACAGTCAACATCAACACCCTCCATTTGCTTAAGTCCCCTGAAAAAAAACAGTAGTGATAGATTCCCTTTAAAATCAACAGGGGGAAAGAAAATATATATATTCTTAACCAAATGGAAGACACTGTCGAAACAATCAGTCAAACTCAGTGGCGAGATCGATGTGGGCGTCTCGAGCCCGTGTCCGAACTCTCACTTGCCATGCTTAAAGAGTAAGATGCCTGTTGCCGGTGGTTTCGCGCCAAAGCACGCGGTAATTCAAAGATCTTCATTCGGGACTGTTTGAGGGGAGTGATATCCACCAAACTTGTTCAAGGGTGTTCCGACTATTTGAACAGTTACTCGCATAAGTTGGCATCATAGACATTGATAAACAGTCCCACACACCCTAAAATGGGGGGGGGGGGGCTCCAAAAAACGAGACATGCGATTGGTTCGCTTCTATGAACTGCGGGAAACAAAGTAGCTGGACGCAGTTCTACGAGTCCGTGATTCTTGGACGCAGCCACATAGTACCTGGACAACGAGGTCACACTAGATGCATCTAAACAGATTAGACGAGATTGGACCACATGACAAAAGCAACATGGGGAAGCCACGTTTTGAGGGACACAAAGAAACAGCCACTTGCAGGGGCCACCAGTTTTGAGGAAAAAAGGCCAGGACAAATGACCATGACTCATGCACAAAAGGAAACCTGTCCACAACAAATCAAAGGCTTGATTATGTTCCATACAAAAGTGGGTACCATATTCAGTGAAATCATCTCAAACTTTCGACCCCAGAAACAAAGATAATGATCAGACCTCAATGGATCCCAAATGTCAACCCAAACTCATTTCAAGGGCCTGGCATGACAATAGGTGTCTCGACATGGAAAAGCCAAAGTCTGAGGGTAGACTCGCATCGCACCCTTCAAGCCATCGCTGCAACGGCTCCCAATTCCCAGTCCCTGCGGAAGTCTGCGCTGCATACTTCCGGCCTCGGGGACCTGCGCGCAGCGCTCTTGCGCTGTGTCTGGCGAGTCTCGGATTTAACAAAGGAAAAAAACATGGGCCTTCAAAAACATCCCTCATGGGACTTTTTGCAGTGTTCAACAAATCCACCACATGGCTGCAATGGGATTGGACACTGACAGCCAAAGCTCCAATGCTTTTTGGTTTGGGTTCGGACCAGGACTCGAGAGTTCCACCGAGATACACGGTCGTGCCCATATGGATTGACGATCCATAAAGAAACAAGCCGCCGTGTAAACGGCACATCTGCCCTTTTTTCTCATAAACGCAGGAAGCAATCTTTGGCCCTGGAGATATCTGGCCATGGGTAAAATCCCGTACCCCCAATGAACATCCCAATTCCCACTAAAATAGACTAGAATGGGGTGGCGCACCTGCCCCAAAATGGTACCAAACCGGTTTTGAGTCACAGCCATCTGACTGTCCCGACTCAAATTGCTGGCGACGTCCGCGCCTGGGCGGAACGGCCCGCTCCAGATACTGGCGCACCCGCCAGTCGCCTCGCAAAACAAACAACAACAAAAAAACGCCCAATCGCGTGCCCGGGGGAAAAAGGCAATGCCAGTGACCAAGTAAGCAAATGGGACAAAACAGTTTGTTTTTCAAGCCTGGAGGGACCGCAAAAACTGGTTGCCTGCTATAGAGGCAACTGGAAGCACTGTGGAAGACCCCCAAGTTGTCGGGGAATGGATTTCACAGGATAGGGGGGTGGAATCAATTGAGTGTTCTGCAACTGTCCACCAGATAGGTCTGCTTCTGTCAAGAGCAGCTGTGTTTAAGCTGCCTCCGCTCGCAAATCCTCGGAACAAAACCCCTGCGCCAACCCTCAGTTTTGCAGTTTTGCCCCTTGACTCAGCGGATAAACAAACATGCTTTTGTGTCTGCGTGCAAAACCACAATGTGTTGTGTGTAAGGCAAACAACAATTAACTTGTTAGTTACACAAGTTCAGGAGCAACTCGACGTGTTCTGTGCCTGTGCCTGTGTTGATGTATGTCCAATGCGATCTTCCTGGAGCCTTCAACGACCAGCCTTTCCCACCGCTAGTTTTAGGCAGCCACAAGCGAGATGCCTAGGCATCTCGAAAAACCTCAACAGGCACCTAGCCGCAAACAAGACTCGGTTGCTTTCTGCTCCCCTGCTGAAAGTTTAACTTTTCGTGGTTTAATGGAGAACCCACTAGTTGGCAAAAAGTTTAAAAGTCCTAGCATCCCTTGGCAAAATGCGCCAAAGAAGACACAAGCCGCGCAGACCAATTCTGCTCAGCCGCCGCTACTCAGTGCCGGCTTTGCACCAGCAGGCGCGACCGGTGCGACCGCCGCCCGCTGCGGCGCGAAAAGCCAGGACCACATGGCGAAGGATTTCGTTTGGAAGGCTGAAAATGACTCGACGTGGCGCATCAGTTGTTTTGTTCAGTGGTTAATCATGATGTAGGGTTTCTGTTTTAGTACATGTCGTATAATTCTGCCATAACTGGTTAACTTGCTCTCGCTTGCCCAAAGGACCCAGAAATAATAAAGGTTAACCTTTTGGCACCTCCACTGAAAATGGACCAAAACGGGAAAGCCAAAAGGTCAAAAGGTGGGCTTTGGGCAACTGAGTGCTTGAAGTCTTGGTGTCCTGACTAGAGCAGGCAGTCGAGATGTTGCAATGGTTCAAGCGCAACCTGCGCAATCTGAGACTGGTGTGACTTCTTCGTGTGATCCGGGCGAGAACTAACATCTACATCCGCTGCAAATAAATGTGGAACCCAAAAAGAGGGGGGGAAGCCGTCCCCTCTTCAAATCCTTTTTCGGGATATGGCCATGGGTCAAAATCCAAATCGTACCCCCAGTGAACATCCGAATCCCCACTGTTTAACATAGACTAAAATGGGTGGTGCACCTACCCCAAAATGGTACCATTGGTTTTGACCCCACAGCCATATGGGTATGGCTAACAAAAACCGGTACCAAAATGGAACCCTGGTAAGTGGAAACATGGACCAAAACCTGCGTAACCCTAGCTCTTTAATTTTGAGCCACTGCCATATTGTTCTGCGAGAGAGCCTGACGCTATCGCGACGCCCTTTTCTCTCTCTCCGCGTCCGCTTTTCATCGGGGCTTCACATCCGCTTTTGCCCCGAACTTACTCCTCAGGGGCCTCTTTGGCCACATAGCGAGAGTGCGCACGCTGCTTTGACACGACAACACAAGCACCAAAGGAACCTAGCTAATCCCCACACCGAGAATGGGCCCCACCCAAAAAACAAAATACTATTGGACATGACTCCTACACTTCAAGTACCAAGGTTTCGCTTTTGCGCGCGGTTACGCCTTTGTTACGCCCAATCCATGTCGACGGTCCATTGGCCGGGAAGGAACCATTGCTCCTCACTCGAGATCTCAAAGGGAGACACGCACGAGAAATTTCGGACATAAATCGTGTAGACCATACGTTCAAACAACCTTCAAGTAGCTACAAATGGCTTGCGAATTTGAGTGCCCAGGATATCCTAGGATCCTTCCAGCCACGAACCGCGGACTGGGGCACACCGCTTCTGGGCGAGTGTTTGACCCCATACATCACTCTCTCAGGCGGCGAAGAGAGGGTGGTCCTTATCTAAGCGAAGCGAGAACCAATGCGTGCGCTCTCTCTTTTTCTCGCTCTCTCTCACTCTCTTTCTCTCGCCACAAGCTTCAACTGGCTGTTTTCCGCGTTGTGCTGTCAAGTTTATAGTTTCTTATCCAAAATCCGCTGAGATAATATACTCAACCTCCCACCAGATCCGCTTACCAAACTCTTCCCTCCCAGCTGGGCCGGGCACAAAGAGGAATCTGCACGAGGTCGCAAAGCTCCTGGGCTATGGCCACCCTCGAGCTGCTTCTTCCGGCGTCAGGTCGGGTTTTTGTATTACACCCTGGGAATGGGTATTGACCCCATTTAGGCACATTTCCGGATAACACCCTGTTATTTTGAACCATTCCGGGTCATTTCACAAGGGCGTAATCCCAGCGGGTAATACCAAAACCCTCAGATCAGGTACCCTGAAGAGGAGGCCGAGGGAAACCAAAAAGAAAACCCCACCCTTTGTGCGCAAGGGGTGGTGTCCCCCGATTTTTAGAAACACCCATCAGAGGATTCTGTGACTTTAGGGATTCAAAGGATTTGAGCAATCAACTCCCGAGCGCTCTCGCGCCCTCCCGACCGCGCGAACCCCAAAAACAGGGGGTGGCAATGCCAGGGTGGCGGCGGCAAGGTTTGAGTACTGGGTGCTCCGAGCCCCCGCGGTTGGTTTAGTAGCAAGGCCGGAGTTGTTTCTCAAAGAGTCTAAAAGGTCCTTTTGGGGGCGATTCGGTCACACCAAATACCAGCCATTCCAAGATAGATTCAAACCAAAGAAACGGGGAAGCCATGGGTCTCACCTTGGAGTAATTAGAAAAACAACAAAACAATCCTGGCTGACGCCACTCTTCTGCAAACATATTGTCACATTGGGCCCGAAAAGTGTAGAAACCCTCTTTGAGGGGTGCCAAAGGAAGCCGCGGAGTAGGAGCTCCCTGCGCAAAGCAAGTGGATCCATCCGTCGGACACGAAGTGGCTCTAAGCACCAACTTACATACCCCGAATGGACATACGCCACTTATGGCCCTTATATAGGGATGGATTTGGGGGCATGTACCCTGTATGACCCACGTATAACCACAATTTTGTTCGGAGTATGTCCATTTGGGGCATGCTTTTGCTTGCCCTTCGAGTGGCCCAACCCGCCTGCATCACCAAAATGGCACCCAGGCTCGCATGGGCCTGCCATGTAGATCAGAATGATCTGAGAGGCGTTTCGCCTGTCCAACCCTGAATTGGACACATGGGTGTGGCTCAAAATTAACCAGGAGGGGTTACGCAGGTTTTGGTCCATGTTTCCACTTGCCAGGGATCCATTTTGGTACCGGTTTTTGGAGCCACAGCCACATTAGCATATCCGAGCTGAGTTTCCTGGCCGAACAAATTGTTTGAACGTGGCCTTCAGGGCCTGCTCTGGGGCTCAAGCATGGCCCTGACGAGGATGATGCCGAAAGCATCTTAACAAGCTTAAAGTTTGTGGCAAGAATCCTGTGTTCCCTCCGCATATATATATATATGTCTTACCCTCCCACCAATTTACATGGAACTCGACGTTCGGGGGGTCCTGGTTTGGACCATGGTCATGATTTTCAAGGGAGCGGGTCCCAGTCAGCTATGCGACAAGGGAGGGTAAATCAGCACCAGCCAAGGCTTTCGGGATCCCTTCAGAGGCGACTCCTTCGTCACTCATTGAATTCACCCCCAAACCTCAAGACGGGTGAGCATTTGACAAGTCCAATGTAGCAATAGCCTTCCTCACCCATGGAAACTGAAGCTGCACATATGTTCGCCATGAACTGAACCACAGCATCGAACCGCAACATGTTCCCCTCCTCCCCAAACTCATGTATCTGGTCTTCCTCACGAAGGGAAGATGGAGCCACAACTGCCGTTGCAGGAGATATCCATCCAACAGGGCTGTCTTTTTTGAGCAAGCAAACAGGTCGCTTCAGCCCCAAAACATCCTCCAAGCGTCCTCCTAAACTCTATGAAGATCGACCCCTCGTTAATCCTGCCAGCAAATTGGTTTGTGTCAAATAGGGGGACCCCATTCTTGGTTCTATTCCGTTCCCCGAACCAGCCCCAAAAAGGGTGGCCCAAAAACTTGTCCCATATATGGAACAAAAAGACCACGCCCACCAGGATGGATGAAAGCTGTGTAAAACCCTATACACTCATACTTTTTAACATATATGGCCACGGGTCAAAATCCCGCACCGCCAGTGAACATCCCAATCCCCACTAAAATAGACTACCCCAAAATGGTACCATTGGTTTTGACCCACAGCCATATCTCCTTTTCAAGAACATCCTCTTTGGGTTCCACGGATCTGCAGGAGCAAAGACTGAGATAATTGCACCACCAACCGCGAAGCGGATTTTCTCCGTAAAATCCGTTGAAAACCGTCGCCTTAGGCCCTCGGACCACTGCCACGTTGGTGTAGTCCGCTCGGACCTGGCGCTTGCAACCCACGTGGCGCTCAAATGGCTTGCCCTGGCAAGTGGCAACATGGACCAAATCCCGTGGTTTTCTGGTGGTTTAATTTTGACCCACAGCCACATCTGGATTATTCACCTCTAACTTGTGTTGGGTAGATGATCCCATTGAAGGGTCAGAAGGAGACTCCAAATAGGAATATCTTGTCTTTGTTCCTGATTTTTGTCAAGGGCAAAGATGTAAAATGGTATCAAACGTCGATTCCGTCCACCTCAAACCTGAGCTCTTGCCACTGAAAATGCAAAACATGCTATGGGTTGTCAAAATAGGGGGATCCAACGAATGGTTGTTCATCCTTTTGGTGTCCCTTGAAAGCAACCCCACAAAGGGTACCCTCGCTTGCCTTCTAATTTAAACTCTTTGATGGACATCAAATTCCTTGAGGATTCATTACCAACCACTGAGGGTTCCCCATTCAAGTCACAAACCCATCTGAGGCTTTGGTTCGTTGTCCAAAGCCGCTTTTTGGGACAAAGGAATCCTAAGGCTCCCATGATCTCATGGCCCCATGGCCCTTGATTTCCGGTGGCCAAACAAGTTTGCCACAAAACTGTGGATGGACGAAATCCATTTCGCACCACCCAAGAAACCCTAGAATGAGGATTCTCCTGTAAATACCAACAAACAATGGTGTCCCATGGTTTCCAAGTGGTGCAGGATTTCGTCCATCCACAATAGGTCCAGAAACCTGGGGAGTGAGTGGCTAATTGATTTGATGGCGCGATGGTTCCTTGAGTGCTTGTGGGTCCAATCCAGGCAATCTCGCATCCCAAGAAATAAGCCCAAACAGGCAATCCGGACACAAATCACACCCCTGGAAGAAGTGTTCTTCAAGAAAGCCCTCTGCGAAGTCGCTATAAACCAAGCGCGAGTTACGGCTTTTTGCCACGAAACCTGCAAGCCGAGAAACGGCCGCGAAAGCGAGTTACAAAACGGGTTGGCCACTCCCGACACTTGAGGGTGTCCGCCATTTGTTTAAGTTACATGCAAAAAAATCATCTTGCCAGTTCTAGATTCTCTTTAAACCGAACAGGGGAACATTAAAAAACATAGTCTTGCTCAAATGGACGTGACAACTGTCTGGTGAGAAGAGGGCTACGTGGGTTCCATGGCACCCTCCGGGACTACCTGTTTTACATGGATAAGTTGCATGGATTAGAGCCAAACTAGAAGGGAAGCCCGGCATCTTTGGTGGTCCCTCAAGACGCCATGTTCAACACTCCTGTGGGTCATTGGGTCGCATGGGAAGACAGTCTCTGGCGCTTCCTCGCAAGGTGCTGCTCATT